ATAAACATCATATAATTTAAGACATGTTCGGGGTCTTCGACATTTTTTTCATCTTTAGGCCTTTATTTGGCATCTTTGTTTCTAAGGGTGTAAAAACCTCTTCTCATAACATTTTCAATTTTCGGAGTAGAGTCCATCTTGGTCTTGACCACATTCATCAATTGATTTGGCTAAAAAATTGTATTTAGGCAACTCTGGGGTAGAGAATCGTCCCTCAGATAATTGTCCACATAGGCATTTATTCGAATATAGTTCTCACATTAGTGTACCCACAAATCCGCTTTCCTAACCAATGTTTGGTCAGAAAAGAAAATTTGATATACTATTGAATTTGAAACTCCAAAGAGAATATTGGTTGGGAACGTAGATGTGGGATTAACATCTACATGCCATAAACTCCGAAATATCAAATTGTGGCAGAAACATTAAAAAATCACGAAAATTAATTTTTTTGTTCGTTATTGAATTATACTATGATGAAAAATATGGACTTTATGGGTTCTCCAACTCACAATTTAAATGACAAAAATAAATTAATTAATATTTCACGGTAATGGGTGTAAAAAAGCAATTATCTTTGACTATTTTGAAATCATTCCGCCCTCAATTATGAGGTGGACAAAACTAAATACCACGCAGCACGGTATTCTTAACATTGGAAATTCAATACCAAAAATTTAGCTGAGTTTTCACATGGGGCTATTATAGAAGTTCTATATCATACAGGTGAAAAATAAGATCAGGCTATTCAAAATATGTAAAACCGACGGTAGATTATTATCTATTATAATTTTTCCCATGAATGTTTATTTCTATTTAGAAATTACTATGGAGTTATTTTACTTATAATAAAAATTGTGCCGCTTTCATAATTCTATAATGCTTAAAAAATATGCATTATAGACTAAAAGTAGGGGCCGGCAACGCGGACCGGGCCAGCTAGTATATATATATATATATATATATATATATATATATATATATATATATATATATATATATATATATATATATATATATATATATATATATATATGTATATATATATATATATATATATATATATATATATATATATATATATATATATCATTGTACTCAAATGTAACTTAATTACTTCAATAACATTATTCAACTCAATAATAAATTTCAGATCTGACCAAAAACATATAATAACAAAGAACATTTTTACTTGTTGGTCCATTTCAAAAAAAAAATAAATGAAAAAATGAAAAAATTTAAAAAATACAACAAAATCTATTTTAACATCATTATTGACATCTTTTTATGCGATTTTTTTAGATTTTATATATTTATGCCGAAAGGGCATTCTGAATTGACAAAATAACAAAATCGGGCCAGTCATTCTTGAGATATAAGCGTTCTAATTAACATCCCCTTCCTTTTTATATATACATATATTTCACTATATATACGATATATTATAATACCCCCAACACATAGTGTTGTAGGGTATAAAAATTGTAAAACTTCAAATCGTAAATAAACGAATAGCTCGGTGTACCAACTCGTGAACATGGCAGGAACAGTTGACCACGAGAAAAGCAGCAACATGTTAAATTTAGTCCGCATACACGAAGGGTTTGTCCTTCTGCGTCTTTTGTAATTGAGTGGCATTTCTGTTGCAATTAGTTGATTCGAGGTTGCAACGTATTTCCCCGTAATAATCGTTTCCTCAATTAAGTTGTTGTGACATTTTTTACTTTTAGCCTAATACCATCGTTAAATTTAGTCCGCATACACGAAGGGTTTGTCCTTCTGCGTCTTTTGTAATTGAGTGGCATTTCTGTTGCAATTAGTGGATTCGAGGTAGCAACATATATCCCCGTAATAATCGTTTCCTCAATTAAGTTGTTGTGACATTTTTTACTTTTAGCCTAATACCATCGCAAAGGCGTTGTGGGTCAATGCTTCAATATAATTTGCCAAAATTTACTTTTATTTGAAATTGGTGCGTGAAATATGTGAAATCGGCCGAGAATATATATTCAATTCTAAACCGATTTCAAATTAATTTGTCAAATTTATTATTGTAACCAAATGCAGGCACACATTTTGAATTTTATTGGAATCGGTCATATATATGGTGTTTGATGCACATAACATAAATGAAATCGGCCGAAATATATTATATAATGTAAAATCGGCCGAAAATATATATGGAAGCTATATCCAAATCTGAACCGATTTGAATATAATTTGAAAAAAATATTTTTGTACCAAATTTAGTCACTCATGCCGCATTTCATTGGAATCGGACATACGCATCGTGTTTGGAGCATCACATTTGTGAAACCGACCGGAAATATAAATGGGAGCTACATCCAAGTCTGAACCAATTTCAATACAATTTGACAAATTTATTTTCTGATCAAAATCCCGCCACACATTCCAAATTTCATTGGAATCGAATATACATATCGTGTTTGGTGCATCAAATACACGAAATCGGTCGAAAAACTATATGGGAGCTATATCCAAATCTGAACCGATTTCAATATAATTTGACAAATATATATTCGTTTTGAATTCCGTTACACATTCCAAATTTCATTGAAATTAGTGGTACGTAGCGTGTTTGGTGCATTAAATACCTGAAATCGGTCGAAAATTTATATGAAAGCTATATCCAAATCTGAACCGATTTCAGTATAATTAAGCAAACAAATTTGTTAGACAAATTCCATCACACATTTAAAATTTCATTAAAATGTGGCGTACACAGCGTGTTTAATGCATGAAATATATGAAATCGGCCGAAAAAATATATCTGAACCGATTTCAATATAAGTTGGCAAATTTATTTTTGTTTCAAATTCCGTTACGCAGTCCAAATTTTGGAGAGTGTATCTATAATCGATCAATAGATAGATATGTGCATATAAAATCTATATACCTCCGATTTTGATGCTATATCTTCAGTTCCAAGTAGAATTTCATAAATTTATATTGCCTGTGTTACTTTCTGGCGATGTTGTAGTATACTTGGAAATTTTCAGGAAATCTATTTAGCGGTTTTCGAGTCCATAAATTACAGATATAGACTAACTGAACCCGGTGCGCTTCGCTACCCCTGTTGACTATATATGCATTCAAAGTTTCATATACGAATATGTGTTGGTTTAAAAAAAAATTAAAAAAAAGTTCGGTCTACCAACGCGTGAACATGACAGGTACAGTTGACCATTAGAAAAGCAGGGACATGCCAAATTTAGTCCGCATACACGAAGGGTTTGTCCTTCGGATTTATTAAATTCATAGCAAATGCCAAGCGTGCAAGAAACTGCAATCTTTTGAAGTTTAGTAGCATTTCTGTTGCTATTAAAGAATTCGATGTAGCAACATACTTCCCCGTAATAATCGTATCGTCAATTCTATTGTTGTGTAGTTTTTTACTTTAAGCCTAATACTATTGCAAAGGCGTTGTGGGCCAATGCTTCTTAGTAAAATCATATCCCAATCTTAACCGGTTTCCATATAATTTGACAAAATTTACTCTAGCACCAAATTCCGTCAGACTTTCCATATTTTATTGAAATATGTGAAATCGGCCAAGAATATATATATGGGAGCTATATTCAAATCTTAACCGATTTCTAATTAATTTGTCAAGTTTATTATTGTAACCGAATTCCGCGACATATTCTGAATTTCATTGGAATCTGTCATACATATTGTGTTTGGTGCATAACACACATGAAATCGGCCAAAGTATTTATATGAGAGCTATACCCAAACCTCAACCGATTTCAATATAATTTGACAAATTTATTTTCTGATCAAAATCCCTTCACACATCCCAAATTTCAATGGAATCGAACATACATATCGTGTTTGCTGCATCAAATAAACGAAATCGGTTCAAAATATATAAGGGAACTATATCCAAATCTGTACTGATTTCAAAATAGTTTGGCAAATTAATTTGTGTACCAAATTGGTTCACTCATGCTGAATTTCATTGGAATCGGATCTGCGTATCGTGTTTTGTGCATCAAATATGTGAAATCGGCCGAAAATATACATGGGAGCAATATCCAAATGTGAACCGATTTTAATATAATTTGACAAACGTATATTCGCTTGAACACATTCCAAATTTCATTGGAATTAGAGATACATAGCATGTTTGGTGCATCAAATACATGAAATCGCTCGAAAATGTATATGGGAGCTATATCCAAATCTGAACCGATTTTAATGTAATTTGACAAATTTATTTTTGTACCACTCATGCCGAATGTCATTGGAATCGGACACACGTATCGTGTTTGGTGCATCAAGTAAACGAAATCGGTCGAAAATATATATTGGAGCTATATTCCAATCTGAACCAATTTCAATATAATTTGACAACTTTATTTTTTGATCAAAATTCCTTCACATATCCCAAATTTCATTAAAATCGAACATATATATCGCGTTTGGAGTATGAAATAAACGAAATCGGTAAAAAATATATATTGGAGCTATATCCAAATCTTAACTGATTTAAATATAATTTAGCAAAGGTATGTTCGTTTTGAATTCTGTTGCACAATCCCAATTTCATTGCATTTAGAGATACATAGCGTGTTTGGTGCATCAAATATATGAAATCGCCCGAAAATGTATGTGGGAGCTATATCCAAATCTGAACCGATTTCAATATAATTAAGCAAATTTATTTTTATTTCAAATTCCGTTACGCAGTCTAAATTTTAGAGAGTGTATCTATAATCGATCAATAGATATGTGCATATAAAATCCAAATTTTTGGGAGGTACCTCCGATTCTGATGCTATAACTCCAGTTCCAAGTAGAATTTCATAAATTTTTATAGCCTATGTTACTTTCAGGCAATGTTGTAGTATACTTGGAAATTTTCAGGAAAATCTGTTCAGCGGTTTTCGAGTCCATAAATTACAAACAAACAAACAAACGTACAAACATTTTCCTCTTTTATAGATATAGATTAGAATTGAGGTTTGAAAGTGTAATTAACGAATATAAAGAGATACTGGTGAATAGTAAATAAATGGTTTCAGACTTTTTTCTTTCATAAATACTTTTTTGTGATATGAACATACTTCGCAAAAATTAAATTTGACAAAAAAATTTAAGTACATAAAATTTCAAATCGTGCTAAATGGAATAAAATCGTGTAAATAAATTAAAAATATTCAATTTTCAAACCGTGTTATATCAAAACCGTGTACAAAAAGACCGTGTAAAAACAGACTTAGGTGTATTGGACTTTTGTTGCAATTTTTTGACAAAGGAGTTATAACTTCGAAAATGTTTTTGAATCGAAATGTTTTGAATCGAAATACCTCAAATCGGCTGGTTTAAGGATGGAACCAGTATAAAAGGACTAGATTTAACTGTACTGAAATCATCGAATGCCAAATCAGAGCACATATATACTTTTTATAACATCAGTCATCAAAGTTTTTCACTCGTTTACATTCTTTTATGGTGTCCCTAACTGTTATAAACCGATGATACCTTAGTTTTCTCTAATTCAGCAATTACTATCGATTCTGATTACGAAATCTCCAGGACATCGAAAATATATATACAAGTGTATACTCAAAATTTTCTTCATTCATCAAAAATATTATTATTAACAAGTTAAAAAGCAGTAAGTTCGGCCGTGCCGAACTTTGAATACCCTCCACCATTTGAAATTTGGTAATTTTCAAAAAATAAAAATAGCCGTTATATTGGAGTCTATACGATGTGGACCTACATAGGCATTGCTTGTTATAAGCCATTACCATATTATAAACGGGTATAATGTAGCATCTTCAAAATACCATATATAGAGAGGTACCGTTATATCGGAGCTATACGAAGACCTGGGGGGTTACTATGTAACCCGATTCGATAGTTCGAATGAGTCGAAAGTTGTATTCGATCCGAATTTAAACTGGTACTATGTAACAATTTCGGATCGACTAAAAAGTGCTGCAACTAATTGGATTTCTTTTGGCAGTACTTTCGAGTGTATTATTTAAAGTTGGCAGCATTTATTTCGTGTAACGTCAAAACATCACCAATAAAGGCAAACAAAAAATATTTATTTTTTCGCGCCGCGAAACGGAAAATGGATTCGGTTGCTCTTTGGTCTCAAAATGACGATGAGCGATTGGAACGTAAAATCATACGCGATGGTGTAGACTTAATGGAGTTAACGGATGCAACGTAAGCAACAATTATATAAATATGGTGTAAATTTCTACATATTGCAATGAGTTAATATTTTCAGCTTTGTTAGAAATTTTCGGCTTAACAAGGAAGCATTTAATTACGTGCTGGACAACATTAGATCGAAGCTGCCAACATCCCTGAGGTCTACTAGTGTAACTCCAATAGTAAAATTGGACGCTTAACTTAAGTTTCTTGGGCAAGGTGGTTTGCTGGATTGGCACAACAAACTGTGTTAAAGTGTATAAGAGAAATGTGCACCGCTATAGAAGAGGTGTTGTGCCCAAAGCACATAAATTTCATCATGAGTCAAGAAGAAAGACGTGCGGCAAAAAATTGCTTCTATGCCATGTCTGGAATTCCAGGGATAATAGGAGCTGTTGATGATACCCACATCCAAATGGTCAGTATACAATCGCACCATGTTTTGTTAACATTTCATCTGTTATTTTAGATATGCGATCACACAATGCGTATAAGAGCAGTGAATGGCTGTTATGGGGGAGCATCACACGACTCTCACATATGGAACCTATCAGATGAGCGCCTATTTATGAAGAACGCTTATGTAAATGGCGACAAGTCGTCGTGGTTAATAGGTAACTAATTTTAATACTGCTCATTTTTTTTAAACAATATTTAAATTCTATATTATCCGTAGGAGACTCTGGGTATCCATTGGAACCATGGATACTTACATCGTATAGGAGCGCCAACGAACATTCCGCGGAAAGCAGATTTAACAAGCGGTTTTGTAAGGCAAGGTTCATAATTGAGCGTGTGTTCGGCGTATTGAAGGGGAGATTTCTTTGCTTGCTCGCAGCACGCGAATTGCATTATGCACCAGTCGCACAAATATTGAATGTCTGTTATGCATTACACAATGTTTGTTTGGAACATAATGTGGAACCACCTACAGATATAGCATATATTGAAGAAGAAATGGAATTGACCTCCAACACAGCTTTAGATTTAGAAGGAACAAATCAATTCTCAGCTGTAGCGCAAGCTTTAAGAGATCAAATAAAAAACAATTTATAAAATAAAATAAGAATTCATTTATTTATTTAATTCATTTATAATGATATTTGGAGGAAAAAAGGCATAAATGGTAATATAATGTCATTATTCTAAACAAAAATTAAATCCGATTCTTTTCAATTTCTAACACCTCTCTTTTCAAATCAAGTTTTGAAACTTTTAGTTTATTATTTTTAATGTCAAATTCCATGTCATGTTCGAACTTTCTTTTTTGAAGTTTATATTTTTTCTCTTCTATGTCTACTTGTCTTCTCTTGTATTTAACTATATCTTTTAAATGACTGTTTATTTCTTCCAAATACTGTTAGACACCGCTTGTGATACTCCATTTGCGCATTAACTTGCTTTTCCAGCAATGTTTGCTTTTTCGGAGCAGCGCGACTGAATCGTTGCGCGGTGTTGGGTGTGCGAGCAGATGATGAACATCGCGGTGGCGAAACGGCAAACAGCACTTCATCTGTGTCCGTCACATCATCTGTATTATGGTTGAATCTATGCGCCACTTCCTGTTCGGCGTTGCTACTGTCCATACTAGTATCCTCGCCAATCGCTGGGGTACTGTTGTTTGCACCAAATTTTCGCACCCCTTGCATACCATCAACCGCCTGATTCATTTAAAGTAAATCTATTAATCTTCCTTCCAATGGTGTAAATGAAAGAATTTTTGCCGGACCACCGCCTGTACCCGAAAAATTAACGCGGTTCTTTCGTAACTTGCCTTTGATATGCGTCTTATGCGTCTTATGCAAACCTTAAGAGGGAAATGTGATAAAAATGATAATGAATAAACTATGTATTACTTACCTTTTTCTAACCAACCACATCCCGCATTGGTGGCTTGTTTGGCGTCTGCAGCTTTTATATAGCCCTTTGACAACTGTGGATGCTCCGTCATGAAATCCACTATTATTTCATATTGGCTTTGTTTTGTGTTCATATTTCTTGTATTATTTTCCCTATAAAAACGGCTTTAAGTTATATTTACCTATAAATGTGTATATATTAATGTAATACTCACATTTTTCGAAGACTGTAGTTCCCATTACGAACTCTAAATACGTAATGACGCTAAAATCATCAAAATACCGAATATTGGGAGGTGCCGTTATTAAGGGCTATACGAAGACGTGGACCTGCACAGACAATATTAAGTCATAAGCTGTAGTATCTATTACGAACTTCAAATGCCAAATTTGAAACAATTCCGTTGAATAATGTACCGAGGTACCGTTATAGGGGGGCTATACGAAAACGTTGACCTACATGGCCAATTTACGAACCTGCCTACAGGAAAAAGAAACATTTGTGCAAAATTTTAGCCTTCTATCTCAATTCGTTCGAAAAATAGCGTGATTACAACAGACAGACAGAGTGACGGACAGACATACAGACAGACAGACGGACATCGTTAAATCGACTTAATTACTTCAATCACATTATTCAACTCAATAATAAATTTCAGATCTGACCAAAAACATATAATAACAAAGAACATTTTTACTTGTTGGTCCATTTCAACCCCTAAATATATTGCAGACATCTTCGAAAACAATATGCCTAGTCCTTCTAAGCCGATAATATAATAGCTCGGTGTACCAACTCGTGAACATGGCAGGAACAGTTGACCACGAGAAAAGCAGCAACATGTTAAATTTAGTCTGCATACACAAAGGGTTTGTCCTTCTGCGTCTTTTGTAATTGAGTGGCATTTCTATTGCAATTAGTGGATTCGAGGTAGCAACATATTTCCCCGTAATAATCGTTTCCTCAATTAAGTTGTTGTGACATTTTTTACTTTTAGCCTAATACCATCGCAAAGGCGTTGTGGGTCAATGCTTCCATATAATTTGACAAAATTTACTTTTATTTGAAATTGGTGCGTGAAATATGTGAAATCGGCCGAGAATATATATTCAATTCTAAACCGATTTCAAATTAATTTGTCAAATTTATTATTGTAAACAAATTCAGGCACACATTTTGAATTTTATTGGAATCGGTCATATATATGGTGTTTGATGCACATAACATAAATGAAATCGGCCGAAAAATATTATATAATGTAAAATCGGGCGAAAATATATATGGAAGCTATATCCAAATCTGAACCGATTTGAATATAATTTGAAAAAAATATTTTTGTACCAAATTTAGTCACTCATGCCGCATTTCATTGGAATCGGACATACGCATCGTGTTTGGAGCATCACATTTGTGAAACCGACCGGAAATATAAATGGGAGCTACATCCAAGTCTGAACCAATTTCAATATAATTTGACAAATTTATTTTCTGATCAAAATCCCGCCACACATTCCAAATTTCATTGGAATCGAATATACACATCGTGTTTGGTGCATCAAATACACGAAATCGGTCGAAAAAATATATGGGAGCTATATCCAAATCTGAACCGATTTCAGTATAATTTGACAAATGTATATTCGTTTTAAATTTCGATACACATTCTAAAGTTCATTGAAATTAGTGATACATAGCGTGTTTGGTGCATCAAATATCTGAAATCGGTCGAAATGCATACGGTCATTGGAATCGAACACACATATTGTGTTTGGTTCATCAAATACACGAAATCGGTCGAAAAACTATATGGGAGCTATATCCAAATCTGAACCGATTTCAATATAATTTGACAAATATATATTCGTTTTGAATTCCGTTACACATTCCAAATTTCATTGAAATTAGTGGTACATAGCGTTTTTGGTGCATTAAATACCTGAAATCGGTCGAAAATTTATATGAAAACTATATCCAAATCTGAACCGATTTCAATATAATTTGACAAAATTTACTTTAGCACCAAATTCCGTCAGACTTTCCATATTTTATTGAAATATGTGAAATCGGCCAAGAATATATATATGGGAGCTATATCCAAATCTTAACCGATTTCTAATTAATTTGTCAAGTTTATTATTGTAACCGAATTCCGCGACATATTCTGAATTTCATTGGAATCTGTCATACATATTGCGTTTGGTGCATAACACACATGAAATCGGCCGAAGTATATGGGAGCTATACCCAAACCTCAACCGATTTAAATATAATTTGACAAATTTATTTTCTGATCAAAATCCCTTCACACATCCCAAATTTCAATGGAATCGAACATACATATCGTGTTTGCTGCATCAAATAAACGAAATCGGTTCAAAATATATATGGGAACTATATCCAAATCTGTACTGATTTCAAAATAGTTTGGCAAATTAATTTGTGTACCAAATTAGTTCACTCATGCTGAATTTCATTGGAATCGGATCTGCGTATCGTGTTTTGTGCATCAAATATGTGAAATCGGCCGAAAATATACATGGGAGCAATATCCAAATGTGAACCGGTTTTAATACAATTTGACAAACGTATATTCGCTTGAACATATTCCAAATTTCATTGGAATTAGAGATACATAGCATGTTTGGTGCATCAAATACATGAAATCGCCCGAAAATGTATATATATATAAGGACTAGGCATATTGTTTTCGAAGATGTCTGCAATATATTGAGGGGTTGAAATGGACCAACAAGTAAAAATGAGTTGAATAATGTTATTGAAGTAATTAAGCTACATTTGAGTACAATGAAATATATATATAATATATATTTATATATATATATATATCTGAAATTTATTATTGAGTTGAATAATGTTATTGAAGTAATTAAGTTAACATATATATATATATATTAATTTATTATTGAGTTGAATAATGTATATATATATATATATATATATATATATATATATATATATATATCAATAACATTATTCAACTCAATAATAAATTAATATATATATATATATGTTAACTTAATTACTTCAATAACATTATTCAACTCAATAATAAATTTCAGATCTGACCAAAAACATATAATAACAAACAACATTTTTACTTGTTGGTCCATTTCAACCCCTAAATATATTGCAGACATCTTCGAAAACAATATGCCTAGTCCTTATATATATATACATTTTCGGGCGATTTCATGTATTTGATGCACCAAACATGCTATGTATCTCTAATTCCAATGAAATTTGGAATATGTTCAAGCGAATATACGTTTGTCAAACTGTATTAAAACCGGTTCACATTTGGATATTGCTCCCATGTATATTTTCGGCCGATTTCACATATTTGATGCACAAAACACGATACGCAGATCCGATTCCAATGAAATTCAGCATGAGTGAACTAATTTGGTACACAAATTAATTTGCCAAACTATTTTGAAATCAGTACAGATTTGGATATAGTTCCCATATATATTTTGAACCGATTTCGTTTATTTGATGCAGCAAACACGATATGTATGTTCGATTCCATTGAAATTTGGGATGTGTGAAGGGATTTTGATCAGAAAATAAATTTGTCAAATTATATTTAAATCGGTTGAGGTTTGGGTATAGCTCCCATATACTTCGGCCGATTTCATGTGTGTTATGCACCAAACACAATATTTATGACAGATTCCAATGAAATTCAGAATATGTCGCGGAATTCGGTTACAATAATAAACTTGACAAATTAATTAGAAATCGGTTAAGATTTGGATATAGCTCCCATATATATATTCTTGGCCGATTTCACATATTTCAATAAAATATGGAAAGTCTGACGGAATTTGGTGCTAAAGTAAATTTTGTCAAATTATATTGAAATCGGTTCAGATTTGGATATAGCTTTCATATAAATTTTCGACTGATTTCAGGTATTTAATGCACCAAAAACGCTATGTACCACTAATTTCAATGAAATTTGGAATGTGTAACGGAATTCAAAACGAATATATATTTGTCAAATTATATTGAAATCGGTTCAGATTTGGATATAGCTCCCATATAGTTTTTCGACCGATTTCGTGTATTTGATGAACCAAACACAATATGTGTGTTCGATTCCAATGACCGTATGCATTTCGACCGATTTCAGGTATTTGATGCACCAAACACGCTATGTATCACTAATTTCAATGAACTTTAGAATGTGTAACGAAATTTAAAACGAATATACATTTGTCAAATTATACTGAAATCGGTTCAGATTTGGATATAGCTCCCATATATTTTTTCGACCGATTTCGTGTATTTGATGCACCAAACACGATGTGTATATTCGATTCCAATGAAATTTGGAATGTGTGGCGGGATTTTGATCAGAAAATAAATTTGTCAAATTATATTGAAATTGGTTCAGACTTGGATGTAGCTCCCATTTATATTTCCGGTCGGTTTCACAAATGTGATGCTCCAAACACGATGCGTATGTCCGATTCCAATGAAATGCGGCATGAGTGACTAAATTTGGTACAAAAATATTTTTTTCAAATTATATTCAAATCGGTTCAGATTTGGATATAGCTTCCATATATATTTTCGGCCGATTTTACATTATATAATATATTTCGGCCGATTTCATTAATGTTATGTGCATCAAACACCATATATATGACCGATTCCAATAAAATTCAAAATGTGTGCCTGAATTTGGTTACAATAATCGGTTTAGAATTGAATATATATTCTCGGCCGATTTCACATATTTCACGCACCAATTTCAAATAAAAGTAAATTTTGTCAAATTATATGGAAGCATTGACCCACAACGCCTTTGCGATGGTATTAGGCTAAAAGTAAAAAATGTCACAACAACTTAATTGAGGAAACGATTATTACGGGGAAATATGTTGCTACCTCGAATCCACTAATTGCAATAGAAATGCCACTCAATTACAAAAGACGCAGAAGGACAAACCCTTCGTGTATGCGGACTAAATTTAACATGTTGCTGCTTTTCTCGTGGTCAACTGTTCCTGCCATGTTCACGAGTTGGTACACCGAGCTATTATATTATCGGCTTAGAAGGACTAGGCATATTGTTTTCGAAGATGTCTGCAATATATTTAGGGGTTGAGTTGAATAATGTTATTGAAGTAATTAAGTTACATTTGCGTACAATGAAATATATATATGTATATATATATATATATATATATATATATATATATATATATATATATATATATATATATATATATATATATATATAATATATATATATATATATATATATATATATATATATATATATATATATATATATATATATATATATATATATATATATATATATATATATATATATATATATATATATATATATATATATATATCAAATGTTGGCTTACTACTGCAGACATTCTACAATTTGGTTTATTGTTGTATTCTTTTGAACCCATTTTTATACCCTCCACCATACTATGGAGGGTATATTAACTTTGTCATTCCGTTTGTAACTCCTCGAAATACTCATGTCAGACCCAACAAAGTATATATATTCTTAATCAGCGTAAAATTCTAAGTCGATTTAGCGATGTCCGTCTGTCTGTCTGTATGTCTGTCCGTCACTCTGTCTGTCTGTTGTAATCACGATATTTTTCGAACGAATTGAGATAGAAGGCTAAAATTTTGCATAAATGTTTATTTTTCCTGTAGGCAGGTTCGTAAATTGGCCATGTAGGTCAACGTTTTCGTATAGCCCCCCTATAACGGTACCTCGGTACATTATTCAACGGAATTGTTTCAAATTTGGCATTTGAAGTTCGTAATAGATACTACAGCTTATGACTTAATATTGTCTGTGCAGGTCCACGTCTTCGTATAGCCCTTAATAACGGCACCTCCCAATATTCGGTATTTTGATGATTTTAGCGTCATTACGTATTTAGAGTTCGTAATGGGAACTACAGTCTTCGAAAAATGTGAGTATTACATTAATATATACACATTTATAGGTAAATATAACTTAAAGCCGTTTTTATAGGGAAAATAATACAAGAAATATGAACACAAAACAAAGCCAATATGAAATAATAGTGGATTTCATGACGGAGCATCCACAGTTGTCAAAGGGCTATATAAAAGCTGCAGACGCCAAACAAGCCACCAATGCGGGATGTGGTTGGTTGGAAAAAGGTAAGTAATACATAGTTTATTCATTATCATTTTTATCACATTTCCCTCTTAAGGTTTGCATAAGACGCATAAGACGCATATCAAAGGCAAGTTACGAAAGAACCGCGTTAATTTTTCGGGTACAGGCGGTGGTCCGGCAAAAATTCTTTCATTTACACCATTGGAAGGAAGATTAATAGATTTACTTTAAATGAATCAGGCGGTTGATGGTATGCAAGGGGTGCGAAAATTTGGTGCAAACAACAGTACCCCAGCGGTTGGCGAGGATACTAGTATGGACAGTAGCAACGCCGAACAGGAAGTGGCGCATAGATTCAACCATAATACAGATGATGTGACGGACACAGATGAAGTGCTGTTTGCCGTTTCGCCACCGCGATGTTCATCATCTGCTCGCACACCCAACACCGCGCAAACACGATTCAGTCGCGCTGCTCCGAAAAAGCAAACATTGCTGGAAAAGCAAGTTAATGCGCAAATGGAGTATCACAAGCGGTGTCTAACAGTATTTGGAAGAAATAAACAGTCATTTAAAAGATATAGTTAAATACAAGAGAAGACAAGTTGACATAGAAGAGAAAAAATATAAACTTCAAAAAAGAAAGTTCGAACATGACATGGAATTTGACATTAAAAATAATAAACTAAAAGTTTCAAAACTTGATTTGAAAAGAGAGGTGTTAGAAATTGAAAAGAATCGGATTTAATTTTTGTTTAGAATAATGACATTATATTACCATTTATGCCTTTTTTCCTCCAAATATCATTATAAATGAATTAAATAAATAAATGAATTCTTATTTTATTTTATAAATTGTTTTTTATTTGATCTCTTAAAGCTTGCGCTACAGCTGAGAATTGATTTGTTCCTTCTAAATCTAAAGCTGTGTTGGAGGTCAATTCCATTTCTTCTTCAATATATGCTATATCTGTAGGTGGTTCCACATTATGTTCCAAACAAACATTGTGTAATGCATAACAGACATTCAATATTTGTGCGACTGGTGCATAATGCAATTCGCGTGCTGCGAGCAAGCAACGAAATCTCCCCTTCAATACGCCGAACACACGCTCAATTATGAACCTTGCCTTACAAAACCGCTTGTTAAACCTGCTTTCCGCGGAATGTTCGTTGGCGCTCCTATACGATGTAAGTATCCATGGTTCCAATGGATACCCAGAGTCTCCTACGGATAATATAGAATTTAAATATTGTTTAAAAAAATGAGCAGTATTAAAATTAGTTACCTATTAACCACGACGACTTGTCGCCATTTACATAAGCGTTCTTCATAAATAGGCGCTCATCTGATAGGTTCCATATGTGAGAGTCGTGTGATGCTCCCCCATAACAGCCATTCACTGCTCTTATACGCATTGTGTGATCGCATATCTAAAATAACAGATGAAATGTTAACAAAACATGGTGCGATTGTATACTGACCATTTGGATGTGGGTATCATCAACAGCTCCTATTATCCCTGGAATTCCAGACATGGCATAGAAGCAATTTTTTGCCGCACGTCTTTCTTCTTGACTCATGATGAAATTTATGTGCTTTGGGCACAACACCTTTTCTATAGCGGTGCACATTTCTCTTATACACTTTAACACAGTTTGTTGTGCCAATCCAGCAAACCGTGTTGGTACCCACCTTGCCCAAGAAACTTAAGTGTAGCGTCCAATTTTACTATTGGAGTTACACTAGTAGACCTCAGGGATGTTGGCAGCTTCGATCTAATGTTGTCCAGCACGTAATTAAATGCTTCCTTGTTAAGCCGAAAATTTCTAACAAAGCTGAAAATATTAACTCATTGCAATATGTAGAAATTTACACCATATTTATATAATTGTTGCTTACGTTGCATCCGTTAACTCCATTAAGTCTACACCATCGCGTATGATTTTACGTTCCAATCGCTCATCGTCATTTTGAGACCAAAGAGCAACCGAATCCATTTTCCGTTTTGCGGCGCGAAAAAATAAATATTTTTTGTTTGCCTTTATTGGTGATGTTTTGACGTTACACGAAATAAATGCTGCCAACTTTAAATAATACACTCGAAAGTACTGCCAAAAGATATCCAATTAGTTGCAGCACTTTTTAGTCGATCCGAAATTGTTATATAGTACCAGTTTAAATTCGGATCGAATACAACTTTCGACTCATTCGAACTATCGAATCGAGTTACATAGTAACCCCCCAGGTCTTCGTATAGCTCCGATATAACGGTACCTCTCTATATATGGTATTTTGAAGATGCTACATTATACCCGTTTATAATATGGTAATGGCTTATAACAAGCAATGCCTATGTAGGTACACATCGTATAAACTCCAATATAACGGCTATTTTTATTTTTTGAAAATTACCAAATTTCAAATGGTGGAGGGTATTCAAAGTTCGGCACGACCGAACTTACTGCTTTTTAACTTGTTAATAATAATATTTTTGATGAATGAAGAAAATTTTGAGTATACACTTGTATATATATTTTCGATGTCCTGGAGATTTCGTAATCAGAGTCGATAGTAATTGCTGAATTAGAGAAAACTAAGGTATCATCGGTTTATAACAACAGTTAGGGACCCCATATATATATATATATATATATATATATATATATATATATATATATATATATATATATATATATATATATATAGAATTGAAGTAATTAAGTTACATTTGAGTACATATATATATAGAAAAAAACTCGAAAGCAAATGTTACTTATATAGTTTGCATCATTGTGTGTAATTTTAAATTCTGTTTTAAGTTCTTATAGAAATATCTTCAAGTCGTTTACTTCGGACGCAGCAATTAAACCATCGTCTACATACAGAACAAGAATTACTTTCTTTCCCTGTTTTTCTCTGATGTATAAACAACTATCAGCAGAACTTACTTTAAATCCCAATTTGGTTAAAAATTTTTGCATTCTTGTATTCCAGCACCGTGGTGCTTGCTTAAGACCATACAAACTTCTTTTCAGAGAACAAACTCTGTTTGTACCACCTTCAAATCCTCTTGGCTGTTTCATGAAAATAGTTTCTTTCAACTCTCCATAAAGAAAAGCAGTTGAAACATCGAACTGCGCTAAGTGCATCTTTTGTTTTTACTTTGTAAACCCATTTTGATGAGAGGGCTTTAGCTCCCTTAGGAAGCTCAGTAATTTCCCAAGTTCTGTTTTCAATCAAAGAACTCATTTCCTTTTTCATTGCAGCTAGAGTTTTATAGTTTCTGTGCTATTAACAAACTCCTGGGATAGCATAGCCAATTCTTCATGAGTGCCCTTTGAAATAATTATTTTTCCGTTTCTTAAGTTTCTAAAATTGCTAATTCCTTCTTCCGATTCTTGTCTGTTGTTACTTTCTGATACAGCATCTTCAAAATCACTATCAGAATTTGAATTAATTTCTAAATTGTCTTCCGTGTTTGGCGAATCTTTGGTTAATTGGTCATTTTCTGCTTCTACAGGTTGATCCAACTCTTCATTGAAACGATTCGGAATTTGCTCTTCTTGAATGAAATCATTGTAACGTTCAATCTTTGTTAAATCGAAAGGTTTTGCATCATTATCAGGATTTACGTTCGATCTGATAGGAATTTTTTCTTCTTCCTCTTTAGTCAGTTTGAAATAATTATTTTTCCGTCTCTTAATTTTCTAAAATGGCTAATTCCTTCTTCCGATTCTTGTCTGTTGTTACTTTCAGATACAGCATCTTCAAAATCACTATCAGAATTTGAATTAATTTCTAAATTGTCTTCCGTGTTTGGCGAATCTTCGGTTAATTGGTCATTTTCTGCTTCTACAGGTTGATCCAACTCTTCATTGAAACGATTCGGAATTTGCTCTTCTTGAATGAAATCATTGTAACTTTCAATCTTTGTTAAATCGAAAGGTTTTGCATCATTATCAGGATTTACGTTCGATCTGATAGGAATTTTTTTTTCTTCCTCTTTAGCCAGTTTCTCTGTTATGCGATTATGATTTATTTTTTCTACAAATTTAACATCTCTTGAAACCTTAACATCTTTCTTTTCAGGCATATAAATACGATATCGCTCATCTCCATCATATCCTACCAAGTATCCTTTTTCAGCTTTCTTGTCCATCTTCTTCCGCTTTTGATTTGGAATGTGAACATAACATGTTGATGCTATGATCCGCAAATGTCGTGTTCTAGGCTACTTACCAAACCATTTTTCGACAGCATCGGATGACTTTCCTGTCCTGTTTAATATGTATATTGCTGATTTTACAAACTCACACCATAAGGATTCTGGAAATTGAATTTCTTTATTGGAATACTTAAAGTTACTTGCCATTTCTACAATCGTTCTATTCTCTCTTTCAGCACTCCTATTTTGCTGTGGGGTATATGGATCAGTCAATCTATGAGTAACTCCACGCTGAGCAAGAATTTTTTTGTATCATCGTTGTCATTGACATTTTGCATGCACCAACATTTCTTTAAGCGAATCTTTAACATCTGATTTTTGTTTTGATAAAATACCCATATCGATATTTTGTATAGTCATCTTTAAATACTACAAGGTACCTGTATCTTTTAAATGAAGGTGGGAAATGGCCACATACATCTGTTGATATTAATTCTCCAGGCTCAGTCGCAGCTTCTCGTCTTCAAAAAGGTTTTCTAGAACAATTTACAATTGTATTCTTCACTGAAATTCCCATTTATTTTTGAAGCTTCATTTTAACATGGCGATAATCCTGATGTCCCCATCGTTCATGGTATAACTGCAATAACGACTTTTCTTCAATTAAGAATATATTCTGTGTGTGTGATTTTGGACGGACATTAAGTTTGAATAGTGTGCCATTAATTTCTCGGTGACCATGTGCCACAAGTTCTCCATTAACGTACATTTTACATTCTTTTGTGGTAGATGTAAATTTGCTATTCGGATTGCTGCCGTGTGCTGCTAAAATCGAAAAAAGGTTTCGAGATATTGATGGCACAAACCATACGTTGTTAAGAGTCATAACTCTCTCCTCTCTCTCTCTCTCTCTCTCTCTCTCTCTCTCTCTCCAATAGCTCTTAAACACTTTTTTCCTGCAGAATGTATAGAATTGGGCTTTTCAAATTCCTCGTATTTCACAAAATATTTATCCGAATTTGTAACATGCTTCATTGCACCGTTATCGAACCACCATTCCACAGTGGTCGAGGTCGTATGGGAACAGCGGCCAAAAATACTTTCAGTGCACATATCAATATGAATCTTTGGTTATGGTACCTTGATGGGATAAAAATAAACAAGTAAAAAAACATTAAGTTCGGCCAGGCCAAACTTTTAATACCCTCCACCTTAGGTTAAAAGAAACATTAGAAGAAATGTGGCAAAAATCATCAAAATACTGAATATCGGGAGGTACCGAAATATGGGGGCTATATCAAATCATGGACCCATGCATGCAATGTTTCGCCACCGGAGCTGGAACCCATTATGACCAACAAATACCAATTTTCAGACAAATCCATGAAAAAATGTGGCATTAATCATCAAATTACCGAATATCGGGAGGTACCGTTATATGAGGGCTATACCAAAACGTGGACCCATACATGCAATGTTTCGCCACCGGAGGTGGAATCCAATATGACCCACAAATACCAATTTTTAGACAAATCCGTGAAAAAATGTGGCATTAATCATCAAATTACCGAATATCGGGAGGTACCTTTATATGGGGGCTATACCAAAACGTGGACCTATACATGCAATGTTTTGCCATACGCACAGGGACCCGTTATGACCTACAAATACCAATTTTCAAACAAATCCGTGAAAAAATGTGGCATAAATCATCAAAATACCAAATATCGGGAGGTACCGTTATATGGGGACTATACCAGAACGTGGACCGATATATCTCATTTTCAATACCATCCTAGACACAATGCGAATTGCTCTGCAAAATTTTGGCGCTCTACGTCAAATACTGTGGGCTGTATCGTGATTTCAACAGACAGACAGACGGACAGACAGACAGACGGACAGACAGACAGACGGACATCGTTAAATCGACTTAGAATTTTATGCTGATTATGAATATATATACTTTATGGGGTCTACGACGAATATTTAAGGATGTTACAAACGGAATGACAAAGTTAATATACCCTCCTTACCAAGGTGGAGGGTATAAAAATGTGACAAAATGGATATGGTCGATGCATGTTTTTGCATGGTCCCCTTACAACGTACCTCCCTATTAAGGGTTATTTGCCCAATACGGCCAAATTGAGTTTGGAAACCAGTATGTCAAATTTGGTGGAAATCGATTCAGATATAGCTATAGCTCCCATACATATTGTTCATCCGATTTGTTGAATTTGCTCTGCATAGCCGTAATGTGGACTCCGTAGTAACGATATTCGGAGCAATATATCAAATACAGCTCAGAAATACCTTTGTCAAATTTTATCGAGTTCGGTTCAGATTAAGATATAGCTCTCATATATATCTATCCGATTTCAAGATAATTCTGCACCAAATGGATAATACAAGCCCGAATCGAAAAGGTGCAAATGTCTCGACAAATTTAGTACAAATCGACTCAGAGGAGGATATTCCTCCCATATATTAGTTCCTTTGGACTTTGTATTATTACTATAATCATAGTTGGTATGATTTAATTCTCACAAATTCCCCATTTAAACCTTTATTTGTTATGTGAGTCTATACGAAATATGCAAAGTGGTGTAGGGTAACATGAAATCGGCCCCGCCCAATTTTAAGACTTTCTTTACTGGCTATTGTTTGGTAACGTTCGCTGTCTCGTTATAAAAGGATCAGAGCTCAGAAGAAGACGGTTAATAAGATTTGTGTTTGTTGAAACACGAGACTTTTTTCGAGTATGATTTAGTCGAAACTTTTTTAAATCATTGTTTCTAGACTCCACGGCCTCCTCCTATAATTATCTAATCTATACAATGACAAATTTCTAAAGTCGGGTGCATGTATTAAAATTTTATGAACTGTGGGTGGAAGATAGTGCTATGTTAACTCTTTAGCAGTGTAAAGGCCTTAAATTTCTCGGCATTATTCAGAAGACAATGCTTGCAACATTATTGAACACCCCTTAGTTACATCCTTATCAATCCCAAACAACAAAAACATATTCTATGTCACTGGCACTATAGAACTGTCAAAATTGCAGCGAAGTCACTTCAGTATATTGGGCATAACATACAAATCTGACAAAATCTGAAAATTAAATTATAATTTTAGAATCTTAGGGCCATTACTAATGGCGTGAAAAAAATCACATTGGAGGATTCAGGGGGGAAAACAATTAAAACTTTACCTGAAATCCAATTTTATTTTCAAAATTAATCTTAATGGCAACTTAGATCACTCACATCTTCTATATTATACATAACTACTAAACACACAAATTACTGCACTAAAAATAAGTCA